TATGTATATGTATATGTATATGTATATGTATATGTATATGTATATGTATATGTATATGTATATGTATATGTATATGTATATGTATATGTATATGTATATGTATATGTATATGTATATGTATATGTATATGTATATGTATATGTATATGTATATGTATATGTATATGTATATGTATATGTATATGTATATGTATATGTATATGTATATGTATATGTATATGTATATGTATATGTATATGTATATGTATATGTATATGTATATGTATATATGTGTATATATGTATATATGTATATATGTATATATGTATATATATGTATAAATATATATGTATGTATATATGATTTATTTGATTTATACCCCGCCTATCTGGACCTATATGAGTAAGCAGTTCCAGGAGCCCCACTGTTCATCCAAGACATTACCATTTCTTTATTATTGTTAGAAACTTTCCCCCCTGAAATGTAAGATTCACTACACTCATTAGATCAAATTTAGCACCACTGAGCAGACACTTCTATTAATTTATACTCCCTTGCCCTGATTTTTGCCAACTTTTCCTTCCCTTGCATTATCTAAAGTGACATGGTCTGTTATGTATTGAGTGCTGTCCTTCCTTCTTAGAGATTAACTTGGATATGGTTTAAAATGTTATAATATTTGCTCTGGGAGCTACTAAATTGAAGAGTTGGGTTCTTAGTTGTTACAAACAAAAATTATAACTCCACATCCTTCTGGTTGTTGTAGGTTTTTTGGGCTGTTTGACCATGTTCTTAAGGCTTTTCTTCCTAACATTTCTCCCGTCTCACCAGAGCACAGTCAGAGTTCTGACTCCTGTCCTCTGAAGTTGCCGGCCACAGAGACTGGTGAAACGTTATGAAGAACAACCTTAAGAACATGGCCAAACAGCCCGAAAACCCTACAACAACCATTGGATCCCAGCAGTGCAAGCCTTCGAGAATACCATATCTCTCTGCTTCAGAAATTTCCCTTTTTTCTATGCTCACCCTGAAGTTGCACCGTGCTTAGAGTTCTATGACTTATTTACATAACAGGAATTACATACTAGATGATCCTTCTGATAATTGCCTCAGTGATGAAATATTTTTGTAACGTAGTGCACACTAGTAAAATGCACTCTGAAAAATTAACAAGCCATTTCATTTTCAGAAACATGATTTCTAAGATTTTCCTAACCATGTGCACCCTTTCATTTTCAAGAATTACATTGTAACCAGAATGGATGCTGGTAATGTTAACATACATTAATGAGATCTGTCTCATGAGTTGCACAAGTGTCACTAGTTGTCTTTGACATATAGTTTAAATACTGGTAAGGTGGAATGTCTCCCAGATGGAAAGGGTTTATGCCATCAGATTGGAAGAATTTTAAAAGAACACATGGTACTGGCAGAAAACCATTTTGGGGTGACTAATACTCTTGAGTTAATCTGGTTGATTAGATACATGGACATATATCAAGGACACAGGTTTGATACGAGTTACAAAACTCAGTCAAAACATTTCTCAAGACAGCTGACAATTACGTATGTTGTGGGCTCTTTTCGTCTCAATGAGTGCTGAAATTCCATGCCCAATCATGTCTTCAAAGCCTGTTCAGCTGGTTCTAGTTTACCTATCCCTGATACTTGTAGGCAATCTACTGTCTCTTAAGGACGTTAATGTATTCCTGACATAGCTGTTCGATGTTGTAACACAGAGAAGTCTTGAAGATAAGTGTATGCAATTATTTCTCATGTATTAGGGAATGACAGAGATGCACAGAAGTTCATGGATCCACACTTTTTATACATGATCACCCTCAAACCACTTTCCAAACATAAGCCCTATCTGTGCCCATAGAAATCATAAATCCCCCAGCACATGGCTTTGCAGTGATGCAAAAACATGAATCTGATGCATAGATTGCCATGAATCCACATGATTTCGATGTAGGTTCATACACAAGCCACTGTACAAACATTGGTTCCATCTCTGCCCACACACTAAAACACAGAAATTGTGGATCCTTCAGGGCATGGTTTTGTAGTCATGCAAAACACCAATGTAAGTCAGAGATGCTGAGGGTTCTGCATGATTTTTCTGCATGAGGCCGTTCTCTCAGTCTCTCAGGCCCAAGTGTGTAGTCACCCAGCCCCCCCATTTCACCATAAAATCTACAGTGCTCTCTTAGACAGTTGAAATTCTACTAATAGAAATGACAGTCATCATGTGCTTTCTGTTTCATCAATTCAAACATTCAGTGTGAAAAACAGCAGTATTCTTGCATGAACACTAAATCAATTGAGTCAAATATTTTCACTCCAATGCCAAGAATCCCCACCCAGCATAGCATAGAGAATTACAGGTATTATAACTCCAGTACACATGGAGAGCCAAAAGCCTCCCACTCTTGAACAAGCTAATAAATATAACATTGTTCTTTGTGCCAATGACATGACCATGAAATATCTCATAACTTCTAGACACACAACACTTCAAAGGATGTTTCTGGGGTTGTCACAATGATCACTAGGAAGAAGTAGCTGATGGTTAAGTTGAAGAAAGATGAATGGTATTTACTTATGAGTATTATTGAGAAATGCAAAATTTCTGATTGTTTTATTGTGTTTTATAACAGAATAGGAACATCAGAGCAGCTGGGAACTCTTGTTTCCCACCTACCCACCCCCAGTGTTTGGTGCACTGCACCACCGCCTCTCAATTTTTCACATCTCTCTGAAATCTTGGAAGAACCATTTGCCATTTAAATGCAACACATACACCTTGGCTAGTCAGAAATAGGAAGTTACAGGCTTCCAGTTTCTTTAAAAAGGCTAATTCGGGATTAAATGAGACCTGAAGGCAAAATTACATTTAAATGGCATATTTCATCTCTTGTAGATTTTACAGTGAAATTGGTGGGAGGACCACACACTGAGAGACCGAGAGGAGGACCTCCTGAAAGATCTTAAAAAGAAGACAGAGTTGGCTGTCATCAGCACATTGGTGGTACCAGACCACAAAATTCTGGACTGTGTCTTTCAGATTTTTCATGTATATGTGAAATAGAATGGGAATCATGGAACCCTGAGACACTCCACAGGCTAATGGTACAGGGGTCCTCCAGCACCACTACCATCCACAAAGTGACAACACAAAAAGGAACATCCCAGAAGCTGGCTCCTTTTTCCATCAGTTAACTACTTCTCATCCAAACACAAAGCAATTGACAGGGCTGTTTTTCAACAAGTGTGAATGATAGTGAACAGAAGAAGGAGTCCTGTAGACCATCTTGACTGCTGCCATTGGTGTCAGCATTTAGGCTGCGCTTTGCTATGTAAAGCTTGAAATCTTTTTTCAGGCTGGCAATGTGGATACAATATTTTGCAGCAATATTGGGCCATTTCCTGACCTTTTGAATTGTGGATACAGAAGCAAAATATCCCACATTCATAAACTGGATGTTTTTTGAAGAATTGCATTTTTATATAAACACATGTCCTCTAGCTGTTCAACTTCATTTTTTTCCAATTATGCACAATAGTTCCATGATACATGCATGAAAAAGAATATATTCAAAGTACTTACCACTTTAGCTTCTACAGCCAACTGGGCAAAACCTTTACGTTTATGCCATATAAGTCTGTATGATTCATCACTAAAGAGTGCTTCTCGAACTCCCCCTGGTGAAATTCCCAGCAGATGACCATTTTTTAGAACATTTAAACACTCTTCCATTGAAGAAGGAATAATGCACATCATAGTGGTTAAAGATCCCACACCTGTAAGAACCAAGTAAGTAACATGTAAGGTTATTAATATCCATCTTCCTCACATCTGCATTTGGTGTCATATAAAAAATAATATTTTTCCCAAGAATCAGAGGAAGCAAAAAGAGAAATCTTTGTGGACCAAGTTGAGGAAGGGTGCCCTATCCTATATAGATCTCAGGCAACAATCTTCAGCTTGGTATTCTTCAAAGATGTTGGATTATTGCTAGACTGACAGGAGATGGGAATAATTGTTTTACACAGCTGGACAATATCATGTGGAAAGAAGGCTGCCCCAGCATGACTAATTCATATTCAGTAAAATGTGCTTAAATAAACATGGAATATTAGCAAAGTAATGCTGCATGACCCTTCTGCTCTGAGATGGGGGAAGTGCTTTTGCCCTCACATCATCATGGGGCAGGAATAAATCCAGTTGGTGCATATTTCTTGTCAGAACAAAAAAGACAATTACAGTCAACCCTTGACTTACGAACGGCCCTAGTTACAAACATTTTGACTTACGAACTGCTCTCATATGGACTCGACTTGTGAACTTAGATTCGAGTTACGAACTCTTTTCTTTCCTTCTTTTTAACCTAAGTCATCTTAGGTTAAAATGAAAAAAATGAAAAAAAATTCTGCCCCTAGTGGTAGGAATGGATTAACCGGCTTTGCATTAGTTCCTATGGGAACTAATGATTCGAGTTACAAACTGCCCCTCGACCCAAGAACCAAAAACAGCTGGAATGGATTAATTGGTTTTCAATGCATTCCTATGCGAAATTCTGATTCGAGTTACAAACTTTTCGACTTACAAACTTAATCCGTTCCGGAGAGAAGTTTGTAAGTCGATGGTTGATTGTACGAAGTTCCAAGTGTCTTTTTGCTCCTTGTTCTAGTTTAGGCTTTGCCAGAACTCTTTTAATAACTTCAGCTCACCCTCCCACTGTTTCTTTTGCATCAGCAGGGGTTGGTCCAGTGGCCTAGCTTTGGGACATAAGCATAGATTAGGAATTCTGGGAAGACCAACAAAGAAGCACACAGTCTAACTAGGATAGAATAAAGAGAAGGTGGAAAGAGCATGCAGAAGACCTATACAGAAAGATAAAAGGATGACAGATTCCTTTGAATAAGAAGCCTATGAAAAAGAAGCTGAAATTCTAGAAAGTGAAGTGAAAGCTGTTCTGAGAGCACTGAGGAGAAATAAATCACCAGGGTAAATGCAATACCAATAAAACTATTTCAAGCCACAGAAACTGAATCTGTCAAAATCCTAGCATGAATATGCCAACAAAGATGGAAAACTAAACAACAGCTCACAGACTGGGAATGTTCAATATACATTCCAATACCCAAGAAAGGACATGCTGTAACTCTAGATCATTGCTCTGATATCCCATGGAAGCAAAGTGTTGCTCAAAGTGTTGCAACAAAGACTTTTATCTTATATGGAGCAAGACATGCCTGATGTTCAAGGTGGATTCCAAAAAAGAAGAGGCACTCAAGATCTTATTCCAAATATTTGTTGGCTAGTGGAACACACCAAAGGATTTCAGAGGAAGGTCAGTCTATGATTTATAGACTACAGAAAAGTCTTTGTGTGCATCGTGAGAGGCTGTGGATTGTTCTGAAAGAAATGGGCGTGCCTCAGTACTTGATTGTCCTGATGTACTTGATTGGCCTGTATTATGGGCAAGAAGCTATGTTAGGACAGAACATACAGGAACTGAATGGCTTCATATAGGCAAAGGTATAAGAGAAGATGTCATTTTCCCCATGTCTGTTCAATCTGTACACAGAACATATCATAAAATAAGCTGAACTAGATTCAGATGAAGGAGCAAGGTTTCCTCTAAGCCGGGCATGCACAACTCTGCCTCCCTTTGGACAGTTCTCTTCCTCCTCCACACAGCGATCACATTTGGTTCTGGTCATGATAGAACCCTGCACAAAATGCCAAAATGATAGCTATGTATATATTGCTATAGAAATGATGAGTGCATGTGAGAAAGCCCCAGTTTGCACATGTTTCTGACAGTGTGCTGGAAATAGTCTAGAGAGATACAGTATAACAGATAGGACACCATATTCTTCTCACAAAGACTTGGTGTGCTGATTTTATGGACACTTCCATTTGATAAAGTTTCATTCATCCATTTATTCATTTCATTTATATTCTGCCTTTCTCCCAATGCAAAGACCTAAGACAGCTTACAAAATGGAGAAGGGGGAAGCATTGCATACTGTAAATTGTGGACCAGAATCTTACTGGGTTTGCACAAGATATACCCAAAGTTGCATGATTTACATGTGTGTTGCCCATTGTGATGTACCTGGTTGTGTGCACAGGCACAAGACAGATGGCCAGAAAATTGTAAATCCAGCATTCTTGGTAGTGGTGATTTTGAAACATTATCCTGATGCCCCCCAAGGCCTCCTCGGGTAGAAAGGTGATGCCTAGGAAGCCTTGTAAATCGAGACAGGTGACTTTTAATTAAAGATAAAAGGCTGCAGCTGATGACATCATCAATCTTACACAAGCAGGAGTGTGTCTGGAGGGTTCTGAGTACAATATTAAAAATGCAATTAAACTTGTGTTACCCTACAAAAACTATTATCTATGACATATGAGGAACAAGTTTCAGTCCTAGGGATATCGGCACAGAAGTAAGTCCTAGTGAGTTCAGAGTCATTTATTCCTACAGAGGCATATTTAGGATTCCAGCACTAATCACCTAATGATAAGGGCTGTTTGGTGCAAGTATTTAAGGCCAGGCATCAAAAATCACATTAACCTACCCACACTGAAAGCTGCATCAACATTTTGCCCTACTAAATTTGGGTTCAGAGAGCAAATAATTACATAGCACTTGAACATAGTACATTACTCAATACAGTCCTTGACAGTGAAGATGACTGGATGCAACTCAGCCTACACTAAAGTAGATGAACGTCTTTGCACAGGGACTAAATAGAAAGAGAAAGATCTCAGGTTTCCTGAACTGATTATTGCCTGCTGTCTTTCCTTCAACTTAGATTGATCTTCTTAGGCTTGCTGATGCCATTTCGTTCATTACATATCTTTCCTTTGCTCACAAAATGTAAGGTGACAGCCATGTCTCCTTACCTCTCCACCTTACTTAGAGTGAGGATTACAGTTATCATTTTACCTCACTGTGTTTCTTTAATAAACACTAGCTTTCTTAGCTTCCCGGAACACAAAGTGTGAATGTAATTTCAGGCAAGTATTATTTAAGCAACCTATTGCAGCAGAATCTGGAGTATTTCCCAGAACAGTAAAATCAGAACACAAGGCAAATAAATAGGGGAAAAAATACTAGAAAACATGACATAGCAACTAAAAGTCCCAGTAACCTGCTGACGGATAATAATTATACTCTCCAGACTTTTTGCAGGTACCTGCAACTCAGATGAGAAAAATTCTTTAATGTTGTAACACAGTTACAAACAAACAAATGGAGCAAACAGTTGATTTTGAAGAAAAATAACGGAATGCCAAAGATACAACAGCAATTCCTCTGCTGAGTGATGACCAGATTGCACATACTCAGATGTGTAATAGTTCTAAAGAAATATACTTTGAAATTGGTGTTTGCAAGAGAAGAATCTGTCCCATCACTGCACAAATTTCTGTTTAGCATGAAAATGAGAAAAAGAATCATTCCCAGCCAAGGATATCCATGGAAACAAAGTAAAGTTTCATAGAAGCAAGGATAAGTTTTGAGTGAAAGTTAGAAAGTAGCAGTGTCCCCTGGATAATTTCCAATTACCTAGGAACATTTGTTTCCCTCATGGGGTACAGAAAGAATCACAGACTTTCAGTCAAATGGCAGCTGCTCTGAAGGCAGTACTTTTTTGAAAAGAAAAGCAGTAATTGGTATCCAGCATACAGATATAAATAATCAAAGCTATGGTTGTTTTCCAGTAGTGTTGTATGGAAGTGAGAGTTGGACCATAAAGGCTGACCGCCAAAGAATTGATGCTTTTGAATTGTGGTGCTGGACTGCAAGGAGATCAAACGTATCCATTCTGAAGTAAATCACCCCTGAGTGCTCATTGGAAGGACAGATCCTGAAGCTGAGGCTCCAATAATTTGGCCATCTCCTGAGAAGGGAAGACTGCCTGGAAAGGACCCTGATGTTGGGAAAATGTGAAGGCAAGAAGAGAAGGGGACAACAGAGGATGAGATGGCTGGACAGTGTCATCAAAGCTACCAACATGAATTTGACCAAACTCCAGGAGGCAGTGAAAGACAGGTGTGCTCTGTTCCATGGGGTCACGAAGAGTCGGACACCACTTAATGACTAAACAACAACAATACAGATATAAATATTGCTTTGGTCTCCACTGCGACGTAAATGTAAACTGGCCTCTAAAAGAAGACGAGGGAGCTCAATAGCAAAGAGAAGGAAATAAAGCAAGATGTAACAATTTATTTCTGGTGATGGTTCTCATTGGAGGAAAGTTTACCCAAGATCATAAACAAACCAAAAAATCCAAATAGAAAAATAAAGATACATGCAAAATGTAGTTTTACCTATAGAAATTTATAAATCATGTGTATTGAGGTAACAGAATAAACTATATAGGAGCATCTAAATATGTATCTGCAGCTAAAGACTACTCTATACACCAAGAATTAAATAGAGGTGAACCATGTGTTAGTTGCTGATGACAGAAAATTACTAATGGAAGGAGTTGACAAGGAACCTTGATCTAGGAAACTTCAGGTATCAGTGATCTATTGAATGGACCAGAAATGAGAAACATCAATGAGTCAAGTAACATATGAAATATTTAAAGCTGAATTTGAAGATGTTTGTATGATAGTGTACAAAGGAGAATTATACTGTGTAGGCTTCAAAACAAGGAGTATGTATGAACTGCAAAGCAGAACTGAAAGAGTCAACAAAGCAAAGCATTATACTGCTATTGAATGCATGCACCAATGCCATAATGACCACTAAACTAAAAGGGAATTTAGCCAAAGGCATGAAAATGATACCCTGCAAACTAAAAGGTAGGAACCGCCTTCTTCCATATGAGCCTGCCCATCCTCTAAGATCAGGCCAGGAGGCCCTTCTGAAGGTGCCATCCCTGAAAGAGGTTAGGGCGATGGCATGTCGAAATAGGGCCTTCTCGGCTGTTGCTCCCCAACTTTGGAATGCCCTCCCTGTAGAGATCCGCCTGGCTCCAACACTCTTGGCTTTTCAGAGCCAGGCAAAGATCTTTCTGATCAGCCAGCATTTTAATTAAACAGTATTCCCTAGCTGGCCACATGAGCAGCAGGACTTATTAATTTTTAATGTTTTAAGAATTGTTTTAATATATGATGTTTTATATTGTCTTTTAAAATGTTTTTAATGTTTTTTAAGTTTTAATGTTGTACGCCGCCCAGAAGCCACTGGCAATGGTGCGGCTAAAAAATATTGTAAATAAATAAAATAAATAAACTGCATGTTTGGCATAAAGGTAAAGGTAAAGGTTCCCCTTGACAATTTTTGTCCAGTCGTGTTCGACTCTAGGGGGCGGTGCTCATCCCCGTTTCCAAGCCATAGAGCCAGCGTTTGTCCAAAGACAATCTTCCGTGGTCACATGGCCAGTGCGATTAGACACGGAACGCTGTTACCTTCCCACCAAAGTGGTCCCTATTCATCTACTTGCATTTGCATGCTTTCGAACTGCTAGGTTGGCAGGAGCTGGGACAAGCGACGGGCACTCACTCTGTTGCGTGGATTCGATCTTACGACTGCTTGGTCTTCTGACCCTGCAGCACAGGCTTCTGCGGTTTAGCCCGCAGCACCACCACATCCCTGCATGTTTGGCATAATCTTCAGTAAATGTTCTAGTGCAAGTTATTCTCATGAACCCATTTGCAACATGTGTCCTGTTTTAATGAAATTCCTCACATTATAGTAGGACATGTTGTCTGGCTAGACATGTTATTACTGGCTATCAGACAGTGCTGGGGCCTGATAGCAGCTCATCCACTCAACATAACAAAAATGAAGCCAATGGAGCTGCCCTCCTGTGTAAAAACAATGCCACTGGCTGGCTGACACTGACATAACTGGGAAGCCCGCCACCGCCACTGCTGGCCAAGTAATGATGATGTTCTTGCTCATGGGACAGCTCCAGTGACTCCATTTCCACCAAAGATCAAATGGACAAGCTTCTGTTGTCCTGATCTCAGTACTGACGTCTGTGGCTGGGAAGTCTTCTTGCATTGGCTGGCCAATGATGGAAGTCCTAATACTGTTTTTCACAGCTGCACATCGGCACCATTTTATAATAGCAGCAGGGCTTGTGTCATGTGCAGCAACAGAAGCCACTGCAAATTCCACTTGGTTTTTCCTGAGTATATAATTAACAACTAGAGATGAGCACAAACCACCAAAATGATGGGTCATCATGGTTTGTCAAAGTTGACAAACTATGAACCCTGAATATCTGAGGTTTTTCCTGATAAACCATGAATCGGTTTGTTGGTTTGTTGGGAAGGAGGAGGTACAGGCTGTAGGGGCAAGGGGGCAACAAACCAGGAAGTTCAGGAAATCGCTCAAAATTACATTGTACAGGTCAGTTTGGGTTCTTTGGTGTGGATGAACCCAAACTGATTCAAATCAATAAATTAGTAATTTTAATGAACTTCCTTTCATTTAATGAACTTCCTTTCCTTTGTCACGGAGAATTAGACATGACTAAATGACTAAACAACAAGAATGAGCTTCCTGGTTCATTGTTAGGTTCATGCCCATCTCTAATTATGGCCAAAGGCAGGTGTACATATTGTATTAAAACCAAGGGTATAACCCCCTCCCACACTTTCTAAATTAGAGTGAAAAGAGAACAAGGTGCCTTTTGATCTACTCAAAAAGCAGGCAACAGTCTATGAGAAAACAGAAAACAATAGTATGGGTTCAGTGCTCCCCAACCAGCACAACAGTTGCACTAAGGGCCTGGGCAGTGCAATTGTATAAAAGGCAAGGAAACTGCCTGCCAGCCAGCCTTTGGCTACCTGGAACACAGGAAGATAAACTCACCAACCCAACCTAGAAGAACAAAAAGAAAGAAATGTACCAAGATATTCCCAACCAAAAACAGTAACTACCCCATGGCCCAGTTGGACATGGGTACAGTCACAAATTCCACTCTTCTGGCCTACACACCCCAACAAGAGCAAACAAAACAGTTCCTACCAAAACCACACAGAATATATACTTTTAATAAAACAAATACAAACTAAATTAATCAAATAACCTTTGTGTTTGATTTGTTTTTTTTTAAATGTGTGGAACAGAAGAAATATTCCCAACACAGGGAAATAAAAGCAGAAACAATAGCAGCAGCAACAATAGCAGTGACAAACAACTCCAGTCTCCCTTAGACCAACCAAACAAAAAATCAGGGAAACAAGCAAATAAAGGCCAAAAACAAACAAATAAACAAAAAGCAATCAAAGCCCCCTCCCAACCAAAACTAGAGAGAATTTTCTCATCGTACCACATGAAGCTTTCTGTTTTTCTCTTCTTTGAGTCTAGCAGGCAGCAACAAAAATAATCCAAGAAAGGGCCGAAAAGGAGGCATGCTGCATGTGGTAACATCAAAAATAATCCAAAGCAATGGGGGGGGGAAGCCTTCAAAATATCAAGAAAAAAGCCAAAAATGTAAAGGATCCAAATTGGAGGCACAGCAGGCTCCAGGCAGGGTTGCAGCCATTCAAAATGCAGGACACCAGAATTAAGATCAGTACAGTATTATAATCCCACAAGCAAACACCACTCCTCACAGATTTCAAGGGCCTTTTACAAATGCAAATTTCCAGTACCCCCTTTCAATGAAGTATTGATTGGCTGTTGACAGTCCTTGTGCTATTTTATGAAAAACATGTCAGGCAATTTGACATACAAAGAATGAAAGATTCTGGAAGTAACTGGCTACAACTCAACTTACACTCAAGAATGCACATTTTTGTATGGAGAAGAGTAGAGGCAGAAGACCTCCACAGGTTTTCTAAACTGTCCTTTTATCTGCTCTGACCTCCTCTGACCACCCTCTGTCCTTAGACTGATATTCTTAGAGTTGCTAAGGCCACTTCCTTCACTCACACACCTCTCTCTGTCTATTCAAGGAGAAAACATAATGCCTTGTTTTCTAGAAATGAAACGGCTCTCCAACTCAGCTAGAACTAGAATGTCTATCACTTTTCCTATATCAACTGTATTTCTCTAATAGACACAAGCTTTCTTACTTTCTTGGAAAGAAGTGTGGACATGATTCCTTCACAGAGGGACTTTAAGTAGCCATTCTGAGATTTAAAGGTCTAAAATTGGTGTTGCTCCAGTACTGCTACACGTATACTCCCACCCCAAAAGTTAAACAAAAGAGAGAACATGAAAAAACAAAATGCTTCTGCACCTCCCTTTTGTTAACAGAAATCATTTGTGTTAAATAAGCTTTCTTTCAGCATTCAACAGAAGATCCCCTTTCATGATTTGGGTCTTTAGTTAATCCAGAAAGACCCATTCCTAGGCTGCACTGAAATTGTCTATGCTTTTGGAAAACCGAACAGTACTGTATTTAAGTATCATTAACATTCTTTGAAATATGTGAACCTTTTATATTAATGAAGAACATTTCGTATTAAGAAATAGCATCACCTGGAAATTTGAAAAGAAAGTCATCAGCTATTGAGTAACAACAACGCCGTTTTAGAATAAAATATCTAGTTAAAAAGTACAAGTAGTCTACAGGTATTGCTCCATGGTAATAGATAAGTAAAGCTGGTCCATCTGGGAGGTTTTCTGTACCATGTAGTTCATAGCCTGAAATACAAAATTCAAATTAGTTATTTCAAATTGGGTAACATTATAACGAAAATGTATGCCCCTTTTGCAAACACCAAATACCCATCTGCATCATTCCTAAACAAATATTTCTGCTGTCATATCTTATCCCAGTATATTATAATTTCATATTTTAGTTTTGCAAAATAAGCCCCATCAGCCTCCTGAAATCCCCAGGATGCTTGTTTGTTTGTTTGTTTGTTTGTTTGTTTGTTTGTTTGTTTGTTTGTTTGTTTGTTTGTTTGTTTGTTTGTTTCAGCCTGTATACTGACCCACAGTGCATGCACTCTCTGGGTGGTTCACAACATGTTAAAATCTCATGTAATAAGAAAAACAAAAATACCAAACAAACAAACAAACAAACCTAAATAAATAAATAAATAAATAAATAAAATGGCCTCCTCTCCCTAGCTAAAAGTCTATCTATAAGAATTAAATTAAAACAGATTTGAACATCTCAGGTAATAAAAAGCACCAGTAAAAGCCATCTTTTATTAACTGGGGTGAAAAAATATCATCACATTTTTCTCACTCTGGAGGCCTTAACACTGGTTGCCCATTTGTTTCCGCATTGACTTCAGTAGTTTAGGACCTCGATATCTGACAGAGTGCCTGCTCCCACCTAGCTCTACTCGTATCACTTGATCTAGCCAGGCTGGGCAGTTGAGGGGCTTGACCCCGAGAGAGGCCCGAAAGGGAAGAACTAGAAACTGGGCCTTCTCGTCAGTGACCTTTGAAACATCTTGCTCCTTGAGATTTGCCTGGCACCATCACTAGGAGTTTTCAAGAACAAGCTGAAGACTTGGTTCTTCAGGTATCCCTTACCCCCTTCTAATTCTTAGTTCCCCATCTCTTACCATATTGGACTTTGCCTATCTCTATGATGCTTGATATTGTGTTTGTTTTAATTTTGTTTTATATTCGGACTATTAGCCGCCCAGAGTAGATTTGTTGAATCTAGATGGGCAGGGTAGAAGCCAGAAAACAAATAAATAACAAATAAATCTTTAATTAATACTATTATCACTAATTTCTCAAAACTGAGAGGGAAAATCCCTGATGAATCTGTGTTGGAGGCTTGCTTTAAAGGGAAGGTGGGCATGACTGAAAAAGCACAATTCCTAGTATTAACTCTTTGGCTGTCCTTAGGTGCTATCATTTTTAATATCATGGGCTGTGAGGAGCAGATAAGACAGGTAGCTGTTTTGTAGGTTTAATTTCCCCAGTATTACGCCTCACCACTTCAAAGTCTCTTTGCAGGAAGAGGCAGGAGGAGGCAAGGAGGATTTTTTTTTTTGGTTTGGGTTTTCCTTGCTGTCTTTCTTTTTTTTTTTTAAGGTGGGTCAAAGAGGGTTGTTTGTTGTTTGAAGTGAGTATGCCATGTGCATGCAAGGGTTGCACCAAATAGCCTACCAGACTTCTATGTGACCTTTCAACCCTCTTTAACCGATCCAGCCAGCTTCGCTGAGCCATCTAGACAAGCCCTTAGTCTAGCCTTATTCAGTCGTGCTGAAAGTGTGTGGAGAGTACACATAGTCAGGAGAGTCTGATAGCCTTGCCCCCCCCCCCATTGCTTCAATAACATAAAAGTGAGAATCTGAAGAGAAAGAAGCTGTTGTACCCATGCAAGTTTTCCATCTGAGCCAGCATGTGAAAATCAGGGTGTTGTCTCAGGTGGACAGCCAACACAATGTTGTTTTTCTGTGGTTAAAGAGACAAGTAAGGGTACGGGCCTTTTGCATCCACCTCCTTTCAGATATTTTAATCATGTTTTTAGCATAACTGAATGGAGGTAGTTAGGAAATGAGCATTGATTAAATCCTACAATATACTCCTTTCCCTATAACAGACCCAAAGCTTCATTCAAATTCAGCCTTGCTTACCATTCCAAAATCTTGCAAATTTATTCCACATGGTTGATAAAATCAGTCGCACATCATCTAATGTATTACTACAATATGATCCTTTTAGCTTAAAAATCATCTGATAGATTAGAAGGAATAAAGCAGACATGTAGATTAAAAAAATAATGCCTAAAGGAATTAGAAACGGACCAAGGCACAACAGCAAAATAGATTTGGTCTCAAAAGATATAAGAAAAATCCATTCTTTTGACAAGTGTGCAAGGCTTGTGGGGTCGAACATAGTTCTCTCTCCATTTACGTAGCATTGGTTCATACTAATCACCTCCTGATAAGAGAGAGAGAGAGAAAGAAAGAAACAGTGTTAAATTCTTTCCAATACAATTTACGTTGTCTGAGTTGTAGGAAAACAACTTGAGACAACAGCAATGAATTACAGTGGTGCCTCGACTTATGATCATCCCTACGTACGACCATTTTGACTTACAAACAGCTCTGGTCGCAAAATTTTGCTTCTACTTGCGACCGGAGCTTGTACTTACGAACAGAAAAAGGTGGGAAATTCAAATTGCTAACTATAGGTCGCGAAAGAGGCTGCTTCTTTGTAGCTGTTTTGCCCCGACGGTTAGAGTGAGTGTGATAGAAGGAGGCTTGGGACTGCCTGGCTCCTGCTTCAGACTGAGCGTGTGTGTGTGTTTGCAGAGAGGCTTCGGGCTGCCTGGTAAGTTAAAGTGCTGTTTTCTGCTTTTTAAAAACTGTTCTGGGTATTTTTGCAGTGAGGTTTTCGGCTGGGGGGGGATGTTTCTGTGCTGTGATGCGTCTTGGTTTTTTTCCCCCCACCATTTCCGATGGGTCTTGGGGGCTTTGGTTGCTTTTTGGATTATTTTTCCCCATTTCGGGTGGGTCTTGGTGGGTTGGTTTGTTTTTTTTGCTCCCCCCATTTCCAAAGTCTTTTTGTTTTAAAATCAGAACATTTTCTGAAAGGGTCTGTGTTGGCTGGCATGCTGCAAAATACAGTTTGGACTCTAAAGTCTTTCTGTTTTAAAATCAGAACATTTTCTGTGAGGGGCTGCTGTGGTGGCTGGTTTGGTTTTAAAATGTGTTTTGTTTAAAAGGTGCTTGGTTTGGTTTAAAAGATGTTTTGTTAAAAAGGTGTTTTAGACTCCAAACTCTGTCTCCCCTCCCATTGTCTTCTCTCTCTCTCTATCTTCTCTCTTTTTGTGCTTAGCAGCACAAACCTTCGTCTGAGGGTCTATTTGCCCAATAATTACCTTTCTTTTCTCTTTTCCCCATTGTTCCCTCCCTCCCTCCTTTCCTGCTCTTTTTTTAACCTAAGTCATTTTAGGTTAAAAAAAATTCCCCCCAGGGGAAGAGGATAGATTAACCACTTTTGCATTAGTTCCTGTAGGAACGAATGCTTCGACTTGCAACCGGCGCCTCTACAAACAACCAAAAAACAGCCAGAACAAATGGGTTTCAATGCATTTCAATGGGAACTGCTGGATCAATTTCAACCATTTTGACTTATGACCATCTTCTGGAACGGATTATGGTCATAAATCGAGGCACCAACGTATATTTCTGTTGCCAAAAGTTCCTCATAGGGAATTCCAAGAATGTTATGAATGGAAATAAGTTATTCTGTCTGGTTAGGGGTTCATTGAGAGAGAAGGATTCCATGTTTGCATGGTAGGATTAATGCTGTGGGTATACTCATTGTAGATGTACTCCAAAGTGTATTTGACTGATTTCTAGAAAATGTGGTTTACAGCTGAAGTAGGATTAAGCACATTGTTCTGAAATGATGGGGTGAAATCTCCCCTCCCCCTGCTTTGACCACAGTGATAATCTTCACTGGGAGTGAAGTTCTCCCCTCCAAATACTATCCTGTGTATGTGTTTCAGAAATATATTTTCCTGAGTTTCCTATGAAAGTGAACATGGGACTACAACTTTACAAATATGTAGATTCATGACTCAGTCTTATGTTTTTTTACTCAGATGGAAGTCCCACTATGGTTGATGAAGTTTACTCCCCCTTATGTGAACTTGGGGTCAAAAAATTAAAAAAAGACCAGATATTTTTGTTAGATTTTTCCCCTAAATGTATTAGTAATATTCAAATGAAATAAGAACAAATAATAATTCATAAAATGAGAGGGAAAATCCACAACATTTTACATTAATAATTACAATTATTATAGAGAAGTTAAACTTGTGAAATAAAGAAATTATAGAAAGACAAATAAAAGGAATGTGGTCGTTGAAGTCTACTACCACCAGTCAAAGAGAAGATGTGGATGCAACTTTGAAAAATAAATTCTAAGTATTTCAATGAGACATGATAAGGGATATTTTATCTATTTATCTGATATTTGTTGGTAAGCAAATTCTGTCAAATATAGTCCTTCCAAGAAATTCATGGCTTGTGTTGCTCCTACAAAAACAGAAGGAAAGAACTAGAGGATTAGCTATCCTTGACTTGATTCTAACCAAAAGGGATAACTTTGTGCTGTGGCCCCAACCTTGGGTGACCCAGATATTCTTGGACTGCAGTTCCCAGAAACTCCACCCAGCATAGCTGATGGTGAAAGCTTCTGGGAATTGTAGCCCAAGAATACCTGAGTTACCCAAGGTTGAGAACCACTGATTTAGTGAATGAAGTGGCAGTAAGGGAAACTCTGGAGCAAAGTGATAAACTTGAGTTCTTGATTTCAGCAGAAGCAAAAGCTGATTGTAGTCACACATGGATTTTAGGAAAGCCAGTTTTCATAGAACAATGATAAAGGAGGTCCCATCACAGGGAAGGAGTCCAAGATGTATAGGAACATCTAAAAAAAAGAAATTCTACAACTACAAGAATTTCAGCAAAAAAAAGTAGAAGACATCAAAAAAGTCCAATGTGACTTCAGAAAAACCTCACAGAGGACCTGAAAATAAAAAACAACAACAACAACACATGGACATAGAAAAGAAGGCCAGGCCACAAAGGAAGAGTACGGAGAGGTAACAAAAATTTGCAGGGATGGTGTTAGGAAGGCAGAAGCTGAGAATGAGCTAAGATTAGCAAAATACACTAAGAGCAACAAAAAGCATTTCAGGTACAGGTGTCATAAAAGACAAAGGAAAGTTGTAGTGGCTCAGCTATTCAGTAGGAATGTGTAAAGTGGACAGGGTCATAGATGCCCTGTCAGCATGCTGTTCCAGTCCGACCTAGGATGTTAGGCCTCCACCCTAATCAATGTTCAGACTACTGCACCTTATCCAGGTGACAGTGGAGAGCTGCAGGGCATGGCTACCTCAGAATCTGGGCCTTCCTGGGAAGCTGGGACAAAGACCGAAGCTCTAGTTCTCATGTCTGCTTGGGCTTCAAAGGATGACCTCTAGGGCAGTGGTCCCCAACCTTGGGCCTCCAGATGTTCTTGGACTACAACTCCCAGAAGCTTTCACCACCACCTCTGCTGGCCAGGACTTCTGAGAGTTGAAGTCCAAGAACATCTGGAGGCCCAAGGTTAGGGACCACTGCTCTAGGGGATCAGTGGGAATTTGCCTTTCCCTGTGGGTGATGGCTGTAAAAGCTGTCTTGCTGACAAGGGAGACAGAAACTCACCAGGAATCAAAGTGAGAGGAAGCAGGCTGTCAAACAGAAACGTGCAGGAACCCCAAGAGGAAGAGACAATTACCCCGGAGCTGGAGAAGTAGCTCCAAAAGTGGGAGACAGTCATCCCAGAGCAGAAGGGAGAAACCCAAGCCTAGGAAACGTATGGGGCCAAAGGGTTAAGGGTAGAAGAAAAAGCACCCAGGCATGAGGACTGGAGAGATGCTTGGGAAGAGTGGTTTTGAAATAACTGGGCAGAGAAGTCCCCAAAAGGAGAGGAACCCTGGGAATCGGGATTATTTATGTCAAGAGAGACCCTGGCAGGGTGTCTGTGTACAAGTTTGAGTTCTGAAAGGAGAGGCTGGAAAATGCAAATACAAATCACCTCCATGGTCCTCCCACTGGGGAATGAGGGAAAAGAGACAGGGGAGGAAAGAATACAACCCAGCATCCACAAGAAGTAGATGATGGCAGAGAAAGAGGCACTGCAGCCATCAGCATCAAGAGATCAGGAAATGGGAAACATCAGAGGATGAACCTCAACATACTTGCCCTCAGTGTGGGCATACTATCCCTTGCTCTGTGGACATACATTTGAGAGGAAGTCACCCTGGGAGCTCAAATGAGCCAGGTGAACAAAGGGAGAAGGGCTAACCTTGTCCCTATCTTCAAAAAGGGCAAAAAGGAGGAAGCTGGGAGCTATAGACCAGTCAGCTTGACATCAATCCCAGGAAAGCTTTTGGAGCAGGTTATAAAGCGGTCAGTCTGCAAGCATCTTGAAAACAATGCAGTGAAAGCTTGAAGCCAACATGTTTTGTCAAGAACAAATCGTGCAGACTAAGCTTATCTTAGTTTTTGTATAGGTTACTTTCCTAATGGAATGGGACTGCGGTAGACACAGTATATTTTGACTTCAGCGAAGCCTTTGACAAAGTGCCCCATGATATTCTAATTAGGTATGGGATGGATAGAAGAGCTACCAGGTGGATACACAGTTGATTAAAGAATCATTCTCAGAGAGTACTTATCAATAGCTCCTTCTCAAAGTAGGAAGAAGTAACAGGTATGGTACTACCAGTCCTCAGCCTGGTGTCTTCAACATTTTTATTAATGATTTGGATAAGGGAGTGCAGGGAATGATTATCAAATTTGCAGACTACACAAAATTGGGCGAAATGGCTAATATGTTGGAAGACAGGAATAAAATTCATCTTGATGAGCTTAAGTACTGGGCTGAAAACAACAGAACAAAATTTAACAGGGATAAATGCGAAGTTCTACTCCTAGGAATGCACAGTCACAAGATGGGGAATACTTGGTTCAGCAATACTGCATGCAAAAGGATCTTGGAAATGTTATAGATCACAAGCTGAATAAGAACCAACAGCTCAATTGGCTGCAAAAACACACACACACACAGCAAGGGCTACATTAATATTTGTATGGCCTCCAGCTCATTTGAAGTACTAGTTCTCCTCTAATTGGCACCAATTAGGCCTCACCTTGAATGCTGTGTCCAGTTCTGGACACCACACTTTAGGAAGTATGCAGACAAAGTGGGATATGTTCAGTGAAGAGTTACCAGGATGGTCAGAGGGCTGGAAATGAAGCCTAAAAGGAGAGAACTGGGCATGTTTAGGCTTGAGAAAAGAAGACTGAGGAGAGATGTGATAGGTGTCTTCAAATGCTTGAAAGGTTGTCATACAAAAGGGGAATCAG